TCATGTGACTCCTGTTTCTCTCATACTTTACCCCAAATATGTCATCGATTCCTGAGAACTCTACCTTCAAAATATTTCTACAATCCAACTCCTCTTCACTTCACTGCTACCACCCTGGTACAGTCCATCTCTTGCCTCAATTGTTGCAATAGTTCACTTCCATCCTTGTGCCTCGGCTGTGTATTCTCAACATAGAAGCTTGAGTAATCCTGTTGAGATGTGAGTCAGATAATGTCACTCATCTCCTTGGAATTCCTCCACAGCTCCCCATTTCTCTCAGAATAAAAGCTAAATAAGGAAACCTATTAACAAAATTTACTATGGCTAAGAAAAAAAAATTACATGAATATCTCCATAGATGATGAAAAGACATATAACAAAATTTGGCATTCATCTTTGGTAAGTAAAAAATCTTCGACAAAAAAGGCATTAATGGATTCTCACTTAATGATAAAATATATTCATCTCAAACCCAAAAACAAACTCCTACTTGCTGAGTAAACACCAGAAGCATTTCCTTAATGTCAGAAACAAGACAAGAAAGAAGGAGGGAAAATTGTAATTATTTTCAGATTTTGTGACTGTAAACTTGGAAATCTTAAGGGAATCAACTACTATAAACTCTAAGAGATTTTATTCTGGGTATAGAATTAATATACAGAAATAAACGTTCATATAACATGTAACAATGAAAGAGAAGCTATAAAGGAAGAAAAGGTCTCATTTACACTAGCAACAAGAAAGGTAAACTACTTGGGAATAAACTTCATGAGAAATGGGCAAGATTTATGTGAAAATGTGCTAAGTATAGGGGTTGGAAGCCTGAAAACAACATCAGGTTCTCTAGTTAGATGCAATCACTTGAGATCAGGTAGGTGGAAGTTAGGAAACCATCTTCCTATGGCTCCTGGCCTTTCCACTGGAGAGGAAGGTTGTGGTTTCTTTGCAGTAAGTTCCAGTCTTTATTCTCAAGTTTTCTGGGTGTCAAGAAGCAGTAGCGGTTGCAGCAGCTTCTTGATCCAACTCTGAAATCCCTAACTCACAGGTTTAGGCGTCCATTCTTTTCATTCAGGCGATGACTGTGGCTCCAGCCCTGGCATGCACATATTTGGTATTGGAAGTGATTGGAGGAATCAGGCCCTTAAGATGGGAATCTGGGATTGGATCTGACCTGGCTACATTTGAAGACAATGGTGACCTTGCCACCAGTGGAAAATGGGATACTATGAGTCTAGGGCATGCAGTGGAAAGAGTTACGTAAATGATCACCTGTGGTCCCCTGGAATGAACAGGTTACTGAAAGCAAGGCTTCAGAGGCTGCTACAGTAGACCGTTATGATGGGAATAAGGGATTCAGGAACTGTCGGACCGGGTTGGCCTTTTCTGACTATATTGGAGTGTTTAAAGAAACAGAATGATGTATTGTAAAAGCCCCAAAATACAGAAGTTAATTTGATATATGATGTTGGTGGCATTTAAAATCAGTATGGGAAAGATAGATTATTAAGTAAATGAGATTGGGCAAATGTGTAACTACCAAGATATGAAGTAAAGTTGGATCTATTTCACTTAACTCATATCAAAACAAATTTGTGATGGTCAAATTTTAAAAGGAAAAAAGTAAAATCATGAAATGTTAAGAAGAAACTATGGAAGCATTTTCAAAGTAATCTAAGAGAGGTGAAGGACTTTCTAAGTATGATATAACCCATAAGTAATAAATAGTAAAAGAAAAGTTTATAAAATTGACCAGTTAGAAATGGAAAACATCTGCATGGCCAATAAAAATAAATAAGCAAATAAACAAAACAGCATAAGAAAAGTCAAAAGACATAACAAACAGAAAAAGTTTTGAGAAAAACATCTAAGCAAAGGACTATTTTTATTGTTATATAAAGCATTTCTATATCCAGTAGAAAATTGGGCAAAATATATAAATAGATAGTTCAAGGAAAATAAAATACAAATGCCTCTTTATTGCTCATAATAAGAGAAATACAAATTAAAACCCTTTTTCATCTATCAGATTGATAAGTTTCAGTTCTAGCCAAAATGGAGTAAGTCCACTACAGCCTATGTCCCCCACTAATTACTAGTAAAATCTCTGGACAAAATATGAAAAAAAAACTTCCCAAGGATTCTGAAAAGTATATTGTAGCAGGTGGATTGGGTAGGGAACTCAAAACTTAAAGAAAGACCAATAAGGGGGTGGTTGAGATTCCTTTTTGCTTTTGGTTTTTTTTCCCTTTACCTCCTAGTTTTGACAGGAGGGCAGGCTGAATTGGAGCTGCCTACCAGGCACTACCAGCAAAAAGTCCAGAGAAGCCTGACCATAATAGCCCGGAGCCAGGAAAACAGGCTGCTGCAAGCTGGAGAAAGTGGTGGAAACTCCTCATTGTTTTTCTTCTCCCTCCTCTGTCCTGAGCCCAGTCCCAGTCACAGGGCTGCACTGCTGTAACACAGTGACGTGGATAAGTAAGGCCCCAAGAGAAAATTTGTCCCTCTGGACAGATGAAATGGGACAAGGGACTCTTGTTGTACAAAAAGGGTCAGAAGAATCCCTGCGAATCTTTTCTCTCTCTTTTCCTTCAACACTGCCCCAAGGGTAGCCCCAGTTGCACAGAACTACACAACAGATAGAAAGTGTCAACACATAAGAGGCATAAACTGCAAGTGAAGCGAAAAGGTTATTTGGGATCTCAAGAATTGCAACTCGGGGGACACAGATTGGAGTAGAAAATCAAATGTGCTCCTATTCAGGCAAGGGCTCGGAGTTTTTATGAGAAAAAGGAAGGAAGATGAGGTAAGTTGTACTAAGGAAGTGTTCATTGGTGCTAGATGAGGTTAGGCTAGGTTTGTACTTCATTGATTGGTTAGCCATTCGGTCATCAGCAAAGTCTAGTTTTATCAGTCCTTACAAACAGGATATTCTTGTCCTTGCTGACTTCTTGGAATGTTGGGGGTCTGGTCCAGTTTGGAAGATAAAGAAAACAAGACGTGTAAGGCAATTCCTCTGAAATGGCTGCTCCGGTTATGTTTTAATGTGGCTCCACTCATGTCATCTTTCACAACAGCACAGGAAACTCCAAGAGAACCCTATCTTTCTGGCCAGAAAAACTGGAAAAAGGGGGTCCTGGGAGTCAGAGAGTATGAAAGAAATCTCTGAAAAGAGAGAGGTGGGGAAGGGAATCCCTAATTCTGTGTAGTGGTTTGTTATGCAGCAATAGATAATTGATATAGAAATCCATGTCATTAACTCAAGTCTGCCGTTTGTGTTGTCCAACAACTAATTTGTCGTACTTAACACAAAGTTTTAATTTTGTAATTGTGGAGATGAAATGAGATCGTCTATGTGAAAGACATTTTTAATATTTCCATTCAAATTTTATTTTTTCTAATCCTTCTGGTCATATAAATATCAGAAGATGAAGTTATCTGGAGGGATGACCATAAGTTCAAGGAATGACAGGATAGGAAGACTGAAATTAAAAAAAAAAAAAAGCCTAATGAATCATTAATATCTAAACCTATTGAAGTTCATAAACAATTTGTCCCCATTTTCAGAAGAGAGAGAACTTCTGGACATACCCATGCAGGACTTCCTAAAAGATAGCCACACGGGAAGTGGTCAATAAGGTTGTGAGCTGCCATGACAGAGCATCAGGGGTCTAGGAAGAACAATAAGCAGCCCCTACCAAGTAATTAGGCTTCTGCTCCTTTCCCCTGGTGTCTCTCTCTTCTGTCTTGAACCTGGAAGACCCAGAGAAGGGGAAGGGGCATGGAAAAGCAGAGCAGGCTTCTCTGGCATGGCAGGACTCTGAGGCATCCCTCTGGGGTGAGCTGGATGTATGGAGGGACAAAGAGTTCATTCATGGTTTTCTTTCTTTCCACTGAGTGTTATGGCTTGCCTACTGTGGATCTAACGCTGTGCTAGGCACTGGGGATATATCAGTGGACAAAACTGACAAAAATCTCTGCCCTTGTGAAGCTTACATTCTAGGGAGAGACTGACAATAAACATAATAATATAAAACGTTAGAAGATGATAAGCGCTGTGGAAAAACGAAACAGGAGAGCAGGTAAGGGAGATACTGGGGTGGGGAAGAGAGCAGGCATTAAATAGGAAAGTCAGAAAGGGCCTCAGGAGGAAAGTGGGATTCGATTTCCTTGAGGCAGATGAGGAAGTAAGCCATCTCCACAATTAACAAAGAGCTTTCTAGGCAGAGGGAACAGTCGGGACAGCAAAGACCCGGAGGTGGGAAGTGAGAGGGTGTCTGATGAGTTCTAGGAAGAGCTAGGAGATCAGTGCGGCTGGCGCGGAGAAAAGGGGAGAGTAAAAGAGGTTTTCAGACAGGTAAGGGGAGGCAGGGCTGGAGATCCTATAGACCCTGGTAAGGAATTTGGCTTTATTGAATGTGCGGTTTTAATAATAAATAGGATTTGGGTTTTTCACTACCTGAAAGTGAGTTACAACTAAAATGGGACTTGTTCTTATATTTGGAAGTGATAACGAAAATTGTATTCTGAACCTTAAGGGATGGAAAAGAGGGAAATGTGAAGAGGCATAGTCTTTTCCCAGCCGCTCTACGAGGTCCCACCCCTTCTCGGTGCAACAGCCCGGCGAGGCCCCGCCTCCCCTGCTGCGGCACCGCCCCTATCGGAGTGACAGCTCAGCGAGGCCCCGCCTCTCCCCCGGATCCCAGCCCCTCTCGGAGTGACAGCTCAGCGAGGCCCCGCCTCTCCCCGGGTCCCAGCCCCTCTGGGAGTGACAGCCCATCAGGCACGCCTCTCCCTTCTCCAGCTCCGCTCCCAATCCAGGCGACCGCCCAGCTAGGCCCGTTTCTCGTTTCTCCGGAGCCGTCGCCGTCGCGCTCCGTGCATGTTTAGCTAGGCCCCGCCTCCCCCACCGCGGCCCCGCCCCCGCCCGCGCGTTACCACGTTTTCACGCCCCGCGCACGGCCGCGCCCGCCCCACAGGCCCCGGTCCGCCCCCTGTCGTGCCCCGCCTTGCCGGGCCTCCGGGTCTCGCTGGCTCTCCGGCCCGCCCCCGAAGACGTGGAGCGCCGCGGTGGCCGGTGAGTGGGGCGGGGGGCCTCGGACCCCTTCGCTCTCCGCGGTGCAGAGCCCCGGCTCGTGCGGGTGGCTGAGCCTGGGCTGCGGCAGGACGCCTCCCGGGACTCCTCCCGGCCGCCGCCCTTCCTTCCCAGGGTACCTCCTGGTGCTAGCAATCCCAGGAATGGGGAAGTGTGACCTGATGGGCGCAGAGGTTGGGGGGTGTTCAGGTGGGGGAGGGAGGAGTGAAGGTGATGAGGGGAGTGGTAGTCGCAGGTAGGGCCTGGGGAGAGCCGAGGTTTGGGGAGGGGATGTGGTCTGGGGGTGGAGGGTTGAGTAATGGGAGAGACGTGGCGAGGCCGAAACCTGGGGCTGCTGGAGTCAGGATTGGAGAGTTGGGGAGAGCTTCAGAGCTATGGGGAAGGAGGTCATGAATGGGGGTGGAGGAGTCGGCGAAGCATAGTGAACGGCGTTTTTTGGAAGGACCAGCACACAGAGGCCCGTGATTCACGCTTCCCCGGAGAGTCCGCGGAGCAGGGAGGGTTAGGGTATCTCAGAACGAGTGTGGCCGGAGCGAGCTTGCAGGGTAATGCTCTCTTTCACATCAGGGTGGTTGGGTTTCCAGTCTTTTGACTGGGACACGTCGTACAGTTTAAATAATAGATGCAAGTCAGGGCCAGTGCCTGGGACACTGGAGAAAGGTGGCTGGAATGGGGTTTGCCTCCTATAGGCTGCTTCTAATTTTCCTGGTGCCTTCACAGCGCCAGCGTTGGTGTGCGCTGTCTTCTGTAAAGCCCTGTTCCAAGCAGCCGAGACAGGGTATGGAGGTGCCAGACTTAAAAAGTATAGTTGAGATTTATTCAGACTCAAAACAGTTGTATCACATTCCCTTAAATCCTGCAGCGGTTTAATTTTTAAAAATCTAATCCTATGGGATTTAAAAAATTTAAATATTATCTGGCTTCTTTCAATTTAAATTCACACTAACCTAGAGGACTAGATATTTTCTAAGGGCCCATTCTGTGAGTATGATAAACAGTTTTAAATTAACTGTGGAAGGTGGATCATATCTATTCTGACCAGCTGTAGCTGAAAGAATTGTAGAATTGCAGATGAAGAATGAAGTTTAAAAGATCTAAAATAATGGAAAGGAATAGAAAAGGCCTGGTAAATTGGAGTGTGTGTGCACTTAAAAAAAACCCAGTCAAACTTTTTTTTCCATTGTAGAAAACTTGGAAGATAGAAAAGTATAAGGTTGAAAATTAAAACCCCATGTAATTTCACCAATCCTGCTAACATTTTGATGCAATTCTTTTTAATTCCCTTTGTAATTTTTATGTATTTAAATGTACGTATTACATAATTGGGGTCATATTGTTATATTACTTTGTATTTTGCATTTTCCCCCACTTAACATTTTCTCACTTAGCATTTTCCTGGATCATTAAAAATTCTCCTTAAACATCTTTTTAAATGGTTGTATAATAGTTCATCACATAATAGTTCATTCTTTTATCACCTATTAGAGTTTCAGCTGTGTGTCAAGTCCTGTGCTTGGAGGTGAGATTGCATGTCGCTCCAGGTAGATACACTTCTCAAGGGTTTAAATGACAGCTGTAGGAGACTTTATTAGCCTGTCCTCATCTGCTGCACGTTTAAAATGTTTCTAGTTTTTTGCTTTTATAAACAATAAAACTTTGGTTTTTGAGGGTTTTCAGCTCAGAATAAGTGTAGTGTCATGTGAGTCAAAAGCTATTATTTTTAGTGTATATAGGTTTTTGTGTGTATGTGTTAGAAAGAGGAGAATAGGGAATTTTTTTGGACGGGAATCTTTTTTAACTTTTCATTTTGAAATAATTTTAGGTTTACAAAAAAGTTGCAAAAATAGTACAGCGTTCCCATTTGCCCTTCCTAGCTTCCCCAAATGTTAGCATCTTAAATAACCATGATGTAATTTTTGAAACCAAGAAATTTACGTCGGTACAGTTCTATTCAGTAACTTATGGACCTTATTTGAATTTCACCAGTTGTCCTGCTAATGTCCAAGTTCCAATCCAAGATCCTACATTGCATTTAGTTGTCATATGACCTCCTTTGATCTTGGCGCCATCCTACATAGGATGACCTGGTGCAGACCTGTGAAGTAAACAAGCCTGTTAGAAAGCATACATCTTCCCTAAATTCATATCCAAAACTCTGTGTCTTGGAAGAGCATATTTATCTTCCTTTCTTGTGTAAGTAGACTACTGTTGGATTAAATTATGTAACCAATAAATTACCTTTTTATTTCTGTTGCATATCATTTCTAAATCATCAAAGAATTACAGAATAGAAGGAGCAATCCAAGTAATCCATGCTTATTATTCTTTTATTAGGCAATGAATTGGCAATGGGAATATCTCAAAAGCAGAAAACCAAATGCCGATTCCCGTCTCTGCATATTTTGGAGGAAAGGGTAATGACCTTCTTTAGTGTAACCAACTTGTCCCAGTTTTAAAACTGAAAGTCTGTGTCCTGGGAACCCCCTCAGTCCAGGGCAACCTCTCAGCCCCGATAGCATTTCTACTAAGAAATCACGGTACATTTCAGATATTATTCCAGCCGAAAGAAACATTACCCCAGTATCTGGGGTAATGAGAGTAGACAGAAAGTATGGGTGAGAGGAGGAAATATTCTTGTTTCGCCTCACTGGTCAGTCTGTGGCAAGACTCAGTTGGGTGATTCTGTGCAGAAGTGGCCTTCCGTCAGTGCAGCATCTAATCAGGCCTGGGCCTCGGCTGCTGTGGCCAGGCTGTCTTCAGTATGTCGTGTCTCGTCTCTCCTACACCTTCCTGTGAGTCCTGAGACCATGAGGTTCCCAGATACATTCCTCAGGGAACGGGCCTCACCAGCTTCCCCACATGGTCAGTGTCACTGAGAACCTCTCTAGTGGGGTAGACGTGTGCGGCGCTGATTTTCCACTCTCAGATCTGCGCACATCCTATGTGACTCTGAGAGTCAGCCGTCCTGGGTCTCAGGGAGGGGGAGTATGTCCCACAATTGCCTGTCAGAGGTTTTAGAGGATGCCTCTAAGTTGTCCTATACCTCAGAGCCTCCTGAGGTGTCCTGTCCCTCTTCCTTCCAGCCCTGGCCATTAAAATTGCAGCTTTTCTCCTGAGGAAATCCCTCTCGTCTTCCAGCGTGATTGGTGTAGCCCTTCATTTTTCTCTTGCTGGGGGCGTGTCCCTGTTCTGCTTCATGACTGAGAGCAATTCTGTAATTTTGGTTCATGTTTCTCCTTGAGTCTGAAATAAGGTGATTCCTAAAGATATCCCTGTTTCCTTCTTAGCCTTTGGATTTATAATCTCATTAACTGTTTTTTCGTTACCCAAACTCAGGAAGAGAATAAAGCGTCCATTATTCTTTTCTTGATCTTGGGTAAAATAGGCACATTACCCCTGTCCCCACAATGGTTGAACTCACAGTGTGTTTCTCTTCATATGTGCGTTTCAACCACCATTGTCAAGATTTACCTTTTGTGGGCAGGTGATTCCATATTTTATGTAAAAGCCACATGAATCTAATTTCTTTGTAGGTCTCTCTTTGGCCCTGTATGCAGTTCAACACATGATAAAGAAGAACAGAATTTGGGATGGCTATCTACTAATCCTGTGCCCCAAGGCTTATGTAGAACCTGGCTGCTCTGTGCCTTATAGTCATTTCTGGCTGCTGTCCTGGCTGACAGTCTGGATAAAAGAGGGAAATTGGCTGTGGTAGCAGAAATCATTCTACCCTGCAGTGCCCAATAAGTCTATATATGTTGAATCATTGCATGTTTTTAGATTGGCCACAACTGGAACCGTAAGGGCCTCTTCTGTACCTACACTTAAAGTTCTCATGTTCCCCCATCTGCTATTTTGGTCCCACGTACTAGTGTTAAGTGTACATGGTAATGGCGGAACAACCTCCCATTAAGATCCTCTGGTAAAAGTAGATAGCAGAACTCAGCTGAAGCCAAGGCTGCCATGAGGCTTCTTAATTTCACCATGTTACACTTGGTATTCATGCCATTGGGCCAGCCAATGGGGAGAAGTGGGATTAGGGTAGGCCTGGATTCCACTGACCAGTGAACTGCAAGATTGAAAATCTGCCTTACCTGCACCCTGTTGCATGCAGAATACAGAAAGAGGCAGGAATCCCCCAAGGAGAGGGCAGCCCCAGAGGTGTTACTGTACAGTGACAGAAATTCCATGAGCAGGGGGCACAGATAGAAGGGCACAGGATGACAGGGACAGGAAGAAGAGAGCACAGTGGTGTAAGAAGGTTTAGATAACCTGAAAGTACACTGTGCCCCAGTGGATGGCACAAGTGTGGAGCAGAGTTGGTCCTTATAGGACTGTGTCACCAGTAGTAGTGTTGGAACTTCCAACAGCATCTTAGGTGCTGGAGCCTTGAGGGGGTCAAGGCTTACCACACGCCACTGAAAAGGCTTAGCAGGCAGTGTTCGCTCACGCCGCACGGTTCATCTTGCTCAGAGCAGAATCCAAGCTGCACTGGCGCTTGTGTTATTCTGTGTGACTTGTATTGAGCTAAAGCATGCAGCTACACAGCTGTGGCAAGGCCAGTGTTACTGCTGATGATGAGGCTATAAAACTGATTTTAACTTTATTGGCTGATAAGTTCACAAAAAGGGAAAAAAAGGTCTTTTTCATATGGCATGATGTCATTCAAAGAACACTGGATATCAGTGCTATCTCTGTCACACTAGTGTCACTTGGAGTCTTCTTAACATGTACGGTGTACAAAGTTGGTATGTTTTTATTCTGGGGAATATAGCAAAATATTATCTTGTATTAATAGAAAAAGTATCATTTGGCCTTTACTACAGTGTCTATTTTACACTTATTGTTGAAAATGTGGGGCTTCTATATTTGTAAAATAATATACAAATTTTCTAATTATTAATAATATCTGCTCATTAAAATTCAAATAAAAAAGATATAAAGTAGAAAATAAAAATCATTCTAAATCCTACTACCTAGAAATGGCAATTTGGAGAAATATATCTGACTAATCATTGAGGGAATTTTTCTTAAGGCGCATACAGTATAGACTGATACGTGCGTATGTGCATGCATGGTTAAGGGTTTGAACTCTGGCAGCAGGCTGCCTGGTTTTGAATCCCAGCTCCCCGGCTAGCTGCTGCGTGACATTGACAAGCTGCTTAACCTCTTTCACCTCAGTTTTCTCATCTGTAAAATGAAAGCGTTCAAGTTCCTTCTTCATGGGGTTAGTGTGAGAGTTAAATGAGTTAATTCACATAAAAATGTGTAGCCCAGTGCTTTGCATGTAGTAAGTCCTTAGCAGATGTTAGCTAATATTATTGTCATTTTGATATCACTGTGGATTATATATATTCATAAATGGGGTCATACTTTGCTTTTTTTTTTTTTTTGGTGAGAAAGGTTAGCCCTGAGCTAACATCTGTTGCCAATCCTCCTCTTTTTGCTGAGAAAGATTGGCCCTGGGCTGATATCTGTACCCATCTTCCTCTACTTTTTTATATGTGGGTTGCCTGCCACAGCATGGCTTGATAAGCGGGGCATAGGTCGGTGCCTGGGGCCTGAACCTGTGAACCTGGGGCACCAAAGCAGAGATCGCGAACTTAAACACTACACCACCAGGCTGGCCTCCATACTTTCCATTTTTTACCTCACAATGTGTTATGAAGTGTTCTCCATGTTAATACAGTTGGATCTGTATTCTAGTATTAATGCTTCTATTATAAAGTTGTACCATACTGTATTTAGCCATTCTCCTGTCGTTGGAGTTTCAGGTTGTAAGTTGTTTCTTTGCCGTAAGTAAGTAAATAAATAAATAAAGCTATAATGAACTTCTGTGTACATATTTGGTTTAATTATCTTCTTGGGATAATTTCCAAAAATAAATAAGAAAGAAAAAAGAGGGGCCGGTCCGGTGGTGTAGTGGTTAAGTTCACACTTTGGCAGCCTGGAGGTCACTGGTTTGGATCCTGGATGCGGAGCTACGTACCGCTCATCAAGCCATGCTGTCACAGTGTCCCATATACAAATGGAGGAAGATGGGCACAGATGTTAGCTCTGGGATACTCTTCCTCAGCAAAAAGAGGAAGATTGGCAACAAGTGTTAGCTCAGGGTCAATCTTCCTCACCAAAAGAAAAAAAAGGAAACTGTAATGTTCTTCTTCTATATGCATATTTGATTTTATTATCTTCCTGGCATAAATTCCTAGAAATAGCATTGTTGTGTTGAATGGTATGAGTTTTTAATGTTATTTTTCATATTGCCACTGTGCTTTCTGGAAAGGGGGTATCAAAATTACAACATCTGTCGGTGGTGTGTGAAAATGCCTGATTTCCTACACCTGTGCCAGAACTGGGTTCTGTCCATCTTTCAACTTTGGCAAATCTGCGAAGGGAAAAGTATCTCGTTGTTACATTGCATTTCTTTTATTAGTAACTTCAAACATCTCAAATGTGTGCCAGCCACTTTTATTTCTTCTTTTGTGACTTGTAATTTTAGTTTTTTGTATTTTTTTTGTTGACTTATAAGAACTCTTTGTATATCAGAGATAGTGACACTTTTGTTTGTAATATATTGGAAATCTTATTATGGTTGTGCCTTGAGTAATGAAAGATATGTAGTGTCTCAAATGAGAGTGAATCAGTGAGCAAATATTTATTGTGAGTTTCTAGATAGTGCTCATATACATGTTTGGAACTGAAACCTGCTTGTAGTGTCTCAGAGAGATTGTTTTTTGACCTGGTAATTATAAATAAGGTGGGCCTTTCATTGCTCACATTAGGCAATGCATAAATGCTAACAAACTGTGACCTTTGATGCATATCCACATATGCCCTGCTGAACACTTTATTATTCCCTTAACCTAACCATTCTTTCCCTCTTTGCTATTTCTTCACTCACAGTCATTCTTCCCATGTCCCAGGTTGGAAACCTTGGAGTCATCCATGTATCTTTTCCAAGTTGAAGGCTGCCTGGTTCTCAGCCTCCTTTCCCAGAAAGTTAATTCCCCATCCTCAGGCTCCCCCTACCTCTTGGATTATTGCTCTTGTACTTAGCCCGTGTATGAGAATGATTTGATTAACACCTGCTTCTGCTATTAGAATCGAGCTCCTCAAAAGCAAGATGTAGGCCTTATTTACTTTTGTACTTTCAGATTCTGTCATGACTTGGCTCATAGTAAGCACACAATAAATGTTTGTTGTATCTGATATTTCCATATAAAAGATGATGATGCTAAGCCTCTGTAGTCTACTGGTAGATTAACATTTTTTCCCAACTTTTTGTTATGAATAAATTTCTGAAGTTCAGGGCAGTTGAAAGAATACCATGAAGACCACCCATATTCTTGCCTCTTGAATTTACCTATTGAGATTCATATCACTCTGACACATAGCTAATCGTCTGCTCAGAAACCTACAGTGACTGCTTACTGGCCATCGGGTCAGATGTAAACTGTAGTGTTTGTCATCCTTAAATGGTCACAGCTTACAAAATTTTGCCCTCTGCTCTGGTCAGGCCAGTCTTATTGTTCTTCTCTTATGCTAACTTTATTCTTGCTTCATTGATTTTACACATGTTATTTCCCTGTGTAGAACATGCTCTCCCTTTGCTTGATCCAAAACTTTCACACATTGAGTGTTCTGAGTTCCCATAGCTCTAATTGCTATCTGTTATCATTCTTTCATTCTGTGTAATTCCTGACCACATTATTAGCTATTTGGAGGTGAGTACCAGGTCCTATTTTGATCTGATTTCCTTCATAGAGCCTAGCATGCTGACATTTTATTTGGCTGGTATCTTTAACTAGCATTCCTGATCTATTTGTAGTATAATTTGAATCCAGCATTGACTTATAATACCTGTGTTGCCCTAAACAAAACTTATACTCTGTTAGAGAAAAACAAAAGCTGACCAGTCCAAGCCAGACAGCCTGGATCTGTTTGATCCCCTTGCCACGAGATTTCCCCTAAAGGAAGGAAAGACATTCTACGGTTTTGAACACCCCTTTTGTGATTGTTCCCAAGAATTGGCTTGCTCTCGTACTTTGGAGTCATTAAAACTTACATCAAGTACTAAGTTAGAACAAATAAGTCTAAAGTCTGAAAATTGCCCCTGGTGAGAATCACTGGGTTAGAGAGAGTCACTTGAGAAACATTTTAGAGGGAGGCCATTAGGCCTTAGTAATTGATGCTGTTTGTGGGTCTCCAACATTTTTCAAGCTTGGTAACAGAGATAAAGATGATATCCCTGAGAAAGAGAAACTAGGAAAGAAAGCTGGTGCTGGGAGATCAACTCCATACTGAAACAAGAAATTGGACTATGCCAATTCCCTGCTCATAATGAATTGGTGACTCCCGTTGTTCACTGGACAAAGCCCAGTTCCCTTGTACCCAAGGGCCCTAGTTAGATTCTAGCTCATTCCCATCCTCCCTTCCCCCACACATAGTTAATGCTTCAGCCATATCAAATTACTTGTATTTCTCTGAGCCTATTGGCTATTTTCCATCATTATTTTGTAGGGGAATACTATTTCCTCTATTTAGAATGCCATCCATTGTCTCTCTGGCAAACTCCTATTCATTCTCCTAAATCCTCTTCAGGTGTCACATCTTTTATAAATACTTTCTTACTACTCTTGTGTGAGAGCATATTTGACACTGTTGTCCTTCACCTACCTGAGTGTCTTCCCTGCTGTGTTCTAAGCTACTTACAGAAAAGGATGGTGTTCCATTGGTTTTATTACAGGGCCTGGCCAGCACATGTGCTTTGAACCATTGGTTGAGCCTGTCTTATAACCCATCTGGATCCTGAGAAATTTTCCTATATGTTGGAAGCCAGAATTAGGTGTAATTAAGAGAAATATAAATATAGTCTAGATATTTCTCTTTTCCAGAATAACCCATGTTTGCTTTTTATTTTTTGAAATTTTCAGCAAGTTTGTCAAAGATGAAAGTGACCTTATCAGCTTTGGATACTTTCGAGAGTTCTTTCACGCCTTTGGTGGTCATAGAACTTGCTCAGGATGTCAAAGAAGAAACCAAAGAATGGCTGAAAAATAGAATTATCACTAAAAAGAAAGATGGAGGTGAGTAAAGTAAATAATACTCAGACTTAGTCATGCTCAGTGACTAAAAATGTATTTTCAAATGTGTTTTACAGTTTTTTTATTGATGTATTTTTAAAATTAATTTCCATTTCTTGGATCTTTATTATTTATCTAGGACTTGAAAGGAAGTCTGAAATTAAGATTAGACTGTAACTAACGTGAGTGATTTTGTTCACAGCTATAAACCCTGTGCCTAGCACAGAGCCTGGTGCATAGTAGGTGTTTAATAAATATTTATCAAATGAATGGACAAGTATCTATTGAGTATTCCTTGTGTGTCAGTTATGGTGCTAAGGAAGAGATAAATCTAGTCTCTGCCAGCAAGGATGTTACCATCAGGGTAAGGAGACTGAATGCCAGTTCCTAGAAATTGAAGTAACAGAAAAAAACAAAAATGAAAGCTGTCACAAAGCAGTACATGATACTTTTAAATGCATCGTTTGCATACTTGCTGTAAAAATAAAGAGAAGGAAGAGGTGATGCTTTAGTGATGCTTTTTGGCTGGTAAGGGATGATTTTATAGAAGAAGCCACAGTTTAGCCCTCTCCTGAAGAGTGAAAAGGGTCTAGATTTGGGTGAGAGGGTAGGAGACATTTTACATGAGCAGACACTTCATAAAACTACATAAAACAACACCTAAAACTTCACTAAGTCTCCAAACACTGGACCAAACTCAGACTCTTTTTAGAAAAGATTTTGGCTGTAAACTGAAATACTTTCTTAAAAATAGAACTTTGAATCAAAGTGGAATTTTTAATTTTTTTCAAAGAATTGAGCCAAAAGAAACTAAAAAACAAGTGTACCTGCTGCTGAAATCTGAGATGTTTTACTGGGTTGGAGTTCCTTCTTTAAAATTCCTGTGATGTAAGAACATTTGCAGTATCTTAGACTGAGAGACTCCAGTGTATCCCAGTCTTCTCCTCTGCTCATTGTGTGGCTTTAGCAGGGACACACAAGGATGGGGAGGGGATGGGCATGTTCCCATATTATTGGGACAATCATAAAGGAACATTCCAAAAAAGTATTCTGCATCTTTCAGGTAAAGGTAGTGGATTTAACATGCATGTTTATTTTTACTCTCTTCCAAACTCCTATTAAAAATACAATAAAATGATTTTTTTTTTAAAGACATAAATCTACATTGACAAAGAAGAAAGGAGAAGATATAACAGTAGGACCATTTGAGAGCTAGAAAACAGATGGATGAGTAGTAAATAGACTTAAGAAAGCCAAAGCTGAAGCTAGCAAGGGAAAAAATTGAGATGTGATTTGGTTCACACTGCAAAATACTCCTAAAGACTCAGGAATTAGTGACACTAGGGGGAGGTGGAAATAAAAATGGTACTAAGAAAAAAAAGAATTGGCTGAGATCATTTTAAGAAACAGTTAGATCCTTCCGTGTTCTACTACCCCAGCAGAAGACTCTGCTTATTATTCTTTGAGAGGGTCAGATACATGGGTTTTGGCATAGGGGCTCTGTGCACAGTTGAAAACAGAGATTATGTAGTGAAAATAGGGTAATAACTGAATATCGTTACCCCTATCCTCCACCCCACCAATCTTATACCTAATTTAGTTTCCAAAATTTTAGCAGGTAGATTCAAATCATCTAGGAAGGAGATTGGATAATCTTTCTTTGGGGATTCTGACCAACTCAAGACAGAATAACCAAAGGTGCAGAAATCAGAAAGTTGCTCATGGAAAATGACCTGGCCAGACTACCTTGCATTAAAGGCCATCTTTGATGAAAGCCTTCAGAACTTCTGTTTAGCCTCTTAGAACCCCTTTCTTAAACATGAGCATACAACAGAAGATCACCAAGCGTCTGAAGAAAACCCCTAACGTGAAACAGAAAGCTAAAACCAAACAAGATAAAAGCAGAAAACTACTCATGAGAAAACCAAAAGAGAGTTAAAACTCACTTCTCAGAGTTATGAGAAGATAGAACATTTGTACATCAAGAGTAGGATATTATAAAATAATCATTTAGGCAAAAAAGCAGCTCTTATAAAGTGAAAATATGGAAGCAACGTTTACAAACTCAGTAAAAGGGTTAGAAGATAATTTTGACAAAAACCTCCCAGAAAGTAGAGCAAAAAGATAAAGAACAGGAAAATATGAGAGAAAAAAATAAGGAAAATAGAGAACTAGTCCAGAAGGTACATGTCTGAATAAAAGGAGTTCTAGAAAGGGAACAAGAAAAAGGAGAGGAAAGAATCATCCAGGAAAAACTCAAAGCTGATGCCGTGCTTTTTCAGATTGAAAGGGCCCACTCAGTATCCAGCATGGTGGATGGAAATGGCATATGATTAGAGACTTTTGGAACTCTGGGGACGGAGAATATACTACGCACTTCCAGAAAAAAGAAAATAAGTCAAATATAAAGGATCAGATTTCTTAACAGAAACCTTGGAAGCTAGAAGGCAGTTGTGTAATATCTTCGTTTCTGAAGGAAAATGATTTCAATCTAGAATTTTGAACCTATCCCGCTGCCAACAAGATGTGAGGGCAGAGCGAAGAGAGATTTCACTAACAAGATGATGTTGATAGGATGTCTCTCATGTCAGTGTGTTGAGGGAAAACTTAAACAGTTGGCAGAAAGCTTAGGGGATTGAATTATTGATAAATTCATGATAAGCAAATGATAAGAGTTAACTTTTGGGGAAAAGGAAAGTTGTAGGAAAGGAAAATCATAGCATTATGTAAGGCTCAACTATAAATAACATGTCATAATAATGAAAGGGATGATATAACTGTATTGTGAGAATGGGGTGATGAGAGTGGTAGATGGAAATGGTGAAGGTGGGCAGAAAAGAGAGCTAAATCGTCATTTGCCAAGGCTTAAAACTGAAAAATCAAGAAATAGCTCTATAGGCATGTTGTTTGGTGACATGACAACAAATAAAGAAAATTGTTATTCCTGAACAATTAGAACGTTGTTGCCTCTGGGGAAGGTAAATTGGGTGAAGGGAGATGGGGACTGCTCTTTTTTCTTTTTAAAGTCATAATAGTTTATAGCAGTGAACTTTTAGTTGTACATTATTGTCTGTCGGTCACCATATAAATGCATCGCTTCACCTCTTGTGCCCACCCTGCAACCCCCTTCCACCTGGTAACCACCAAGCTGTTCTCTCTGTCCGTGTGTTAGTTTGTCTTCCCATATGAGTGAAATCGTGCAGTGTTTGTCTTTCTCTGTCTGGCTTATTTTGCTTAACCTAATACCCTCCAGGTCCGTCCATGTTGTTGCAAATGGCAGGATTTTGTCATTTTTATGGCTGAGGAGTGGTCCATTGTGTATATATACCACATCTTCTTTATTCGTTCATCCATTGATGGGACTTAGGTTGCTTCCACTTCTTGGCTATAGTGAATAATGCTGCAATGAACATAGGGGTGCATAAGCCTCTTTGGATTGTTGATTTCAGGGTCATTGGATAGATTCTCAGTAGTGGGATAGCTGGATCATAGGGTATTTCTATTTTTAATTTTTTGAGGAATCTCCATACTGTTTTCCATAGAGGCTGTACCAGTTTGCATTCCCACCAGCAGTGAATGAGGGTTCCCTTTTCTCCACAACCTCTCCAACATTTGTTGTTTTTTGTCTTGGTGATTATAGCCATTCTCACAGGTGTAAGGTGATATCTTAGTGTAGTTTTGATTTGCATTTCCCCGATGATTAGTGATGTTGAACATCTTTTCATGTGCCTATTGGCCGTCTGTATATCTTCCTTGGAAAAATGTCTGTTCATATCCTCTGTCCATTTTTTGATCGGGTTGTTTGTTTTTTTGTTGTTCAATTGTGTGAGTTCTTTATATATTATGGAGATTAACCCCTTGTCGGATATATGCTTTGCAAATACTTTCTCCCAGCTGATGGGTTGTCTTTTCTTTTTTTTTTATAATTTTATTTATTTATTTATTTTTCCCCCCAAAGCCCCAGTAGATAGTTGTATGTCGTAGCTGCACATCCTTCTAGTTGCTGTATGTGGGACACGGCCTCAGCATGGCCGGAGAAGCGGTGGGTGGTGCACGCCTGGGATCCGAACTCAGGCCGCCAGCAGCAGAGCGTGCTCACTTAACCACTAAGCCACGGGGCCGGCCCTGGGTTGTCTTTTCGTTTTGATTCTTGTTTCATTTGCCTTGCAGAAGCTCTTTAGTCTGATGAGGGACTGCTCTTTTTCAGAACAAGATATTGACAAATGGTTTTCTGTGAAGGTTATACCAATTTATACTCCCCTAGAAGTGTCTGACAGTGCCTTTCCCCACACACTCACTGTGTCGGTTTGGGTCTTCCAAGCAAGAGGTGCAGAGATGGGATTTGATGCACAGAGGTTTATTGAGGGAAACATTTGTAGAAAGATAAAGGAGAAGGGAGCAGGAGTAGACATAGAGAACCTTCAGACTTTGGTACAGGTCTGACACTTGTGGGAGAGGGAAGGAAGGAGGCTTGAATAGGAAGAGCCTCAGACTATAGCACAGTTCCAAGAAAGTATTAGCTAGGCCCAACATTGCCCTTTATTTTTATTTATTTATTTTTAAAGATTTTATTTATTTTCCCCCCAAAGCCCCAGTGGATAGTTGTATGTCATAGCTGCACATGCCCCAGTGGATAGTTGTATGTCATAGCTGCACATCCTTCTAGTTGCCGTATGTGGGACGCGGCCTCAGCATGGCTGGAGAAGCAGTGTGTTGGTGCGTGCCCGGGATCCGAACCCGGGCCACCAGCAGCGGAGCACGAGCACTTAACCGCTAAGCCACAGGGCCAGCCCCCCAACATTGCCATTTAAAGGAAACCTATGTTAAGCAGGAATGGCATTATTCCAGTGTCCCCTGCATGCTCAGCCAATGGCTGGGAGCGGCTAGGGGAGCGTGGTCTAGGTGTGAAGGTGCTGTATTCAAAGGTGGGCAGCAGGAGGCTATCAACTCTGCTCTTCACATCAGGTTCTTTTTTTTTTTTGTCCTGTGTTTTCGTATATTTTATTTCATTTAATCTTTTTTCTTTTATTGCCATAACATTGGTTTATAACATTGTATAAATTTCAGGTGTACATCATTATACTTCTGTTTCTGCATAGATTGCATCAGATTCTCTTGAAGGGACTTCTGGGTGGAGTGGGGCACTTCCATAGCTACTATACCCACCAACCTATTTATTATCAAACTTTTGATCTTTGCAGTGTGAGAAGTGAAAAATAGCATATTGATGTCATTTTTGCATTTATCTTAATATCAAGGAAGTTAAGCTTTATATTTAAGAGCTGTTTGTATTTTCTGTACAGTCATGCATCACTTCATGATGGGGGTACGTTCTGAGAAATGCATCATTAGGCAATTTTGTTGTTGTGTGAACATCAGAGTATACTTACACAAACCTAGGTGGTGGTATAGCCTATTACACACCTAGGCTATCTGGTACTAATCTTATGGGACCAGTGTCGTGCATGCGGTCTGTCGTTAACCGAAACTTTGTTATGCAGCGCATCACTTGAATATATCTTTTATTCAAGTCTTTAGTACCTCTGTTGTAAATTACCTAAATAATAGTGCCATAGTACATTAATCTTAATATATTAATCCATTTGGTAAGTGAAATATAAATTCTGCTCATTATCCTGTTACCATCTAATTAGTGTTTTCGTAATTCTTGTGAACCCTCTGTAGAGGGTAAATAGTAAAGAAGTAAATGTACCTGAAAAAGTTTGATGTAAGTAGAAATAAAAAATTAGAAAAAAATCCTTTTTCTCCATAATCTTTTAAGTAATTATTACATGTAGAATATCAGATTACAACATCTACTCTTTTTTTATTGAAGAATAATTAACAAAATATCCTAGTAGTTTCAGGTGTACATTATAGTGATTTAGTATTTATATACATTACGAAATGATCACCCCGATAAGTCTAGTTACCATCTGTCACCATACAAAGTTATTACAATATTATTGACTATATTCCCTCCGCTGTATGTTAACATCTCCATGACTTCCAGTTATTTATTTTATAACTGGAAATTTGTACCCTTAATCCCCAACAACATCTACTCTCAACGTTTTGGGAACCTATTTGAGAAAAATATCATTAAACCTAATTGAATGTCGACATTTATGGGAAAAGTCATACAGTTGTACTCCAATGTATTGTGTTATATTTGTGGCATTTTTACTGGGATATTTTATTTCAAGTTAATTTTCTTGAATTTTGGTCTGTTATTTTTATATTAAGAAACTATATCCTTTTGATCCATATTTTTACTTAGTGCAGTTTTATGCCTAGAGCTAGTAAATATTGGATACTTGTCTCATATCTACTTCTAATTTGAGTAACTGGCAAGCTGCTTATTGCATTTTCCAGTTTTGGCATTTATTTCAAAAAGCTATAAAAAACTGCCATCTCCGACTTACTTATAGTTCTTACTTATTTGGAAGAGGGATTTAAATTGTTAATGTAATTTATTTTCCTTCTACCAAACTAGAAACTAATTTATTTAGAAGGTTTTTATTTTTGAAACTTTTGTGTTTGTCTCTTTCTAAGATTGTCCTTATCTTTTGTTTTTGAAGGTGCCCAGCTGTTGTTTAGACCATTGTTAAATAAGTATGAGAAAGAAACACTAGAAAATCAGAATCTATATCTTGTTGGTGCCTCCAAGATTAGATTGTTACTGGGGGCAGAAGCAGTGGGGTTGGTGAAGGAGTGCAACGATAACACCATGAGAGCCTTTACCTACGGAATGCGGCATAACTTCAAAGGGTTTGATGGTGAGTCCCAAGATTGTTTCTCTCAGAATCAATGTATCAAAAAGGAGTTTTTGATGAATAGATCGGGGGTCAGCAAACTTTTTCAGTAAAGAGCCAGATAGTAAATATTTTAGGCTGCGTGGGCCATGCCATCTCTCACAGTTATTCAACACTGCCATTGTAGAGCAAAAGCAGCCTTAGACCATAAGAAATGAATGGGTGAAGCTGTGTTCCACTAACATTTTACTTGTAAAACCAGGCGGTGGTCCAAATCTGGCCCACGGGCCTCACTTTGCTGCTCCGGGAATAGAGGAACATAAATTAGGATGACACATGTAATTTATTTGTATTCTGTTCACACTCTTGGAATGGTGAATGTTCACTGGCTTAATATAGAAAATCTTATAATAAGAAATTCAGTAGTAGTTCAGTATCCTAGAATTCCCATTTCCTGATAGGGTAACTGGTTCTGTTCTGGCCCCAAAGGAGGTTCCAGAAGAGAAAGGTTTCTGGAAAGAACTGAGAAAGCTAGGGTGGTTATGATATCAGAATGGAAGTTTGGCTTCAGAATCAAACTGGTTCCTTCCCGGGCTTTCAGAGTTAGAAGATGTGATTAGGCTTCTTCAGATTCGCTCACTCTGGATTTTTATATCTTAGAGAATAAATGATCAAGAATAAATGAAATTCACCTCATTTAAAAGGATTCACCTGTGAAAAAACAGCATTATTTTCTTGTCAGACTTCTCCCTCGTTTAGGAGAGGGATGTTCAACTCCAGAAGGGAATGGCCTGGGCTTGAGAGTTTGAAGGAGGAGAATTTGCCACATAGGAAAACTTCTATTCCATCCCTAGTTAAAAATATTGTTAGGGGGCCGGCCCCGTGGCTTGGCGGTTGAGTGCGTGCGCTCCGCTGCTGGCGGCCCGGGTTTGATCCCGGGCGCGCACAGACGCACCGCTTCCCCGGCCATGCTGAGGCCGCGTCCCACATGCAGCAACTAGAAGAATATGCAGCTGTGACATACAACTATCTACTGGGGCTTTGGGGGAAAAAAAAGGAGGAGGATTGGCGATAGATGTTAGCTCAGAGCCAGTTTTCCTCAGCAAAAAGAGGAGGATTAGCATGGATGTCAGGTCAGGGCTGATCTTCCTCACAAAAACAAAAAAAAAAGGTAGAGATTAACATTAAAAAATATATATATTGTTAGAATTAAAGAACATATTGCCTTCTGCTCATTGGTATTAAATGAGATCAAACAAGTGGCTGCCATTTGGATGTTTGTACCATATTATATAATAACTAGTACGATGATTGAAGAATTATATTATGTGAAGGCATAACAGAATATTTTTATTCTTATATCTAGGGAGCTTTATGTTCTGTTTAATTTAGCAGTGGTATACTTTGCTTACTCCTTATGTTAATTATTGTTTACATCATATTTTTATAATCCCAGGTTATTTGAATATTAATAATTTTATTTTAGCTATTACTGAGAAAATAACTGGAAATTTTTGTTTCATTTTAGATGACAATGATGATTTCCTCACAATGGCAGAACGTCAATTCATTATCAAACATGAACTTGAAAATCTCAGAGCCAGAGATGAAAAAATGATCCCTGGTTACCACCAGGCAAAGTTGTATCCAGGAAAATCATTATGTAAGTCATTATATCAACCAGCTTCATGAATACACATTCTAATGCAATTACTTTTTCTTAGTAAACCAATTACAGAGGCTTTATTATTTTTCTTACTGAAAAATCTACACAACTTTACAATAACTTATTTTTTCAGGAATGTATCTTTTGCCTTTAGAGCTTCATTATATTACACCTTTAGATCTATATATTTGTTCACTATATGTATGGTTCACTACTTCTTTTTTTTTTATATAATTTTATTTATTTATTTATTTTTCCCCCAAAGCCCCAGTAGATAGTTGTATGTCATAGTTGCACATCCTTCTAGTTGCTGTATGTGGGACGCGGCCTCAGCATGGCCGGAGAAGTGGTGCGCTGGTGCGCCCCTGGGATCCAAACCCCGGCCGCCAGCAGCGGAGCGCGTGCACTTAACCGCTAAGCCACGGGGCCGGCCCTCACTACTTCTTATTTATCAAGGTTCCACAGCATTCGGTTAGCTTAAAATTTAGTGTGAACACATATACATATTATTAATTTAAAATAAGCAAAGTTTACTTTATGCCCCAAAATTGTACTGTAATGAAAACCTGTGGAGGAACAAAAATGGGAGACATGGTCTTTTTCTGGAGCATTCTTCCCATCTCCTCTTTTTTTTTTATTGTGAAATTTTTGTTGTATGTTATTGTTTGTCAGTCACCATATAAAGGCATCCCTCCACCCCTTGTGCCCACCCCTCACCGTCCTTGCCCCTGGTTCTATCTGTCCGTGTGTTGGTTTATCTTCCACATAAGAGTGAAATCATGCAGTGTTTGTCTTTCTCTTTCTGGCTTATTTCGCTTAATATAATACCCTCCAGGTCCATCCATGTTGTTGCAAATGGGATGATTTTGTCTTTTTTTTATGGCTGAGTAGTATTCCATGGTATATAAATACCACATGTTCTTTATCCAATCATCAGTCGAGGGACACTTGGGTTGCTTCCATGTCTTGGCTATAGTGAATAATGCTGCAATGAACATAGGGGTGCATAAGCCTCATTAGATTGTTGATTTCAGGTTCATTGGGTAGATACCCCGTAATGGGATAGCTGGATCATTAAGGTATTTCTATTTTTAATTTTTTGAGGAATATCCATACTGGTTTCCATAGAGGCTGTGCCAGTTTGCATTCCCACCAGCAGTGGATTAGGGTTCCCATTTCTCCACAGCCTCTCCAGGTTTTGTTGTTTTTTGTCTTGGTGATTATAGCCATTCTAACGGGTATAAGATGATATCTTAGTGTGGTTTTGACTTGCATTTCCCTGATGATTAGTGATGTTGATCATCTTTTCATGTGCCTGTTGGCCATCTATATATTCTTTGGAGAAGTGTCTGTTCATTTCCTCTGCCCACTTTTTGATCAGGTTGTTTGTTTTTTTGTTGTTCAGTTGTGTGAGTTCTTTATATATTACGGAGATTAATCCCTTGTCGGATATATGGTTTGCAAATATTTTTTCCCAGCTGGTGGGTTGCCGGTTCATTTTGATCTTGGTTTTGTTTGCCTTGTAGAAGAAGTTCTTTGATCTGATGAAGTCCCACTTGTTTATTTTTTCTTTTGTTTCCCCTGTTTGAGTAGACATGGAATTCGAAACGGTCCCATCTCCTCTTGTCTCACTGAGTATGAACACTTGCAAACATGGAAAGGCGTAAGATTTTGCGAAGTAACATAATACCTGAATGCAAATTAACACTTTGCAACTTTTTGATTTTGTGTGATTCCATTTGAATGAGATTACTTGTTTGCAGAATGAGGGTGTTTACTCCAGTGTGTAATTCAAAGTTTGCCTCAAACCTAGATAGTGGCAAGGGCTCAGAGCATTTTTGCTGCCTAAGATACACTTTAAACATATAAGCTTCTGTGTCTCCTAGTCTGGTTTCCTTTTAATAGTCGGTGTGATACTACCTTCCAGTCTTCACTCAGGAGGACAGATGCCCAAGAACCAGTCTATATTCAAATTTTCCCAGTAGTTACCAAATATATTTTAGAGCTGATTTGTTCAAACCAAGATCCAGTCAAAGATAACCCATTTTTGTTTGGTTATTTTATCTCTTAAGTTTCTCTCTCGCTCTTTTTTATTGTGATAAAGTATACATAGAATAAAATTTACCATTTTAACGATTTTCAAATGTACGGTTAAGGGGTGTTAAGTACATTCATAATGTTGTACAACCATCACTGCCATCCATCTCCGTAGCTCCTTTCATCTTGTAAAACTGAAACCCTGTATTCATTAAACAATTACTTCCCCCTCCCTCCTTCCCCCGGCCCCTGGCAACCGCCATTCTACTTTCTGTCTTTACGATTTTGATTACTCTAAGTATCTCAAATAAGTGGAACCATACAGTGTTTCTCTCTTTGTGACTGACTTATTTCACTTAGCATAATGTCCTCAAGGTTATTCTGCGTTGGAATTTCCTTCCTTTTTAAGGCTGAATAATACTCCATTGTATGCATATACCATGTTTTGCTTATTCATTCATCCATCAGTGGACACGTTGGTTGCCTTAACCTTTTGGCTATTGTGAATAATGCTGCTATGAACATGAGTATACAAATATACCTATGGTCTTTGAGACCGAGCTTTCAATTCTTTTGGGTATATACTCAGAAGTGAAATTGCTGGGTCATGTGGTAATTCTATTTTTAATTATTTGAGGACCCTCCATTACTGTTTTCCACAGTGACTGTAGCATTTTACATTCCCGCCAACAGTGCACAAGCATTCCAATTTCTCCACATCCTCACCAACACTTGTTATTCTCTGATTTCTTGATAGTAGCCCTCCTAATGAATATGAGGTGGTATCTCATTGTGGTTTTGATTTGAATTTCCCTAATGCTCAGTGATGTTGAGCATCTTATCATATGCTTATTGGCCATTTATATATCTTCTTTGGAGAAGTGTTTATGTTCTTTGCCCGTTTTTGTGTTGTGTTGTTTTTTTTGTTGTTGAGTTTTATTCTTTATGTATTCTGGATATTAATCCATCAGATATATGATTTGCCAATATTTTCTCTTATTCTGTGGGTTGCCTTTTTACTTTGTTGATACTTTTAATGCACAAAATTTTAAAATTTTCATGAGGTGCAACTTATCTGTTTTTTCTTTTATTGCTTGTACCTTTGGTGTCATACCCAAGAAATCATTGCCAGATCCAATATCATGAAGCTTTTCCTCTATGTTTTCTTCTAGGAGTTTTATAGTGTCGGGTCTTATGTTTAGGTCTTTAATCCATTTTGAGTTAATTTTTGTATATGGTGTTAGATAAGGATCCAACTTTATTCTTTTGCATGTGGATATCCAGTTTTCCCAGCACCATTTGTTGAAAAGACTGTTCTTTCCCCATTGAATGGCCTTGGTATCCTTGTCAAAAATCATTTGATCGTATATGTGAGGGTTTGTTTCTTGGTTCTCTATTCTATTCTGTTGGTCTATGTGTCTGTCTGTATGCCAGTACCACACTGTTTTGATTACTGTGGCTTTGGGGTAAGTTTTGAAATCAGGAAGTTTTGTTCTTGTTTTTCAAGATTTTTTTGGCTATTTGAAGTTCCATGAAATTACATGTGAATTTTAAGATTGGTTTTCTATTTCTACAAAAGACATTCATGGGATTTTGATAGGAATTGCATTGAATCTGCAGATTGCTTTGAGTAGTATTGACATATTAACAGTATTAAGTCTCATGAACATGGGATGTGTTTTATTTATGTTGTCTTTAATTTCTTTTAGCAATGCTTTGTAATTTTCATTATATAAGTCTTTTACTCCATTAGTTAATTCCTAAGTATTTTATTCTTTATGATGCTGTTGTAAATGGAATTGTTTTCATAATTACCTTTCCAGATAGTTCATTATTAGTGTATAGAAATGCAACTGATTTTTGTATGTTGACTCTATATCCTGCTACTTTACGATTCCTTTATTATCTCTGACAGTATTTTTGTGGAAAATTAAGGGTTTTCTATATATAAGATAATATCCTCTATGAACAGAGATAATTTTACTTCTTCCTCTCCAATTTGGATGCCTTTTATTTCTTTTTCTTGCCTAATTTCTCGGGCTAGAACTTCCAGTACTATGTTGAATAGACGTGGTGAAAGTGGGCATATTTGTCTTATTCCTGATCTTAGAGGAAAAGGTTTTCTTGTTTCACCATTCAATATGATGTTTTTTGGGGGATTTTCATAGATGGATTTTATTATGTTGAGGTAATTTCCTTCTATTTGTAGTTTGTTGAGTGTTTTTGTCATGAAAGAGTGTTGAATTTTGTCAAATGCTTTGTCTGCATCAATTGAGATGATCATGTGTTTTTTTTTCTTTCATTGTGTTCATATGGTGTATTACAGGCATACCTTGGAGATATTGCAGTTTTGGTTCCAGACTACCGCAATAAAGTGACTATTGCAAAAAGCGAGTCGCACGAAATTTTTGGTTTCCCAGTGCAGATAAAAGTTATGTTTACATTATACGGTAGTCTATTAAGTGTGCAGTAGCATTATGACTAAAAAGACAATGTACATACTTTAATTAAAAAATACTTTATTACTAAAAAATGCTAACCATTTTATGAGCCTGCAGTGAGTTGTAATCTTTTCACTGGTGGAAGGTCTTGTAAGAAATGCGAATCTGCAAAGCACAATAAAGGGAAGCACAATAAAATGAGGTATGCCTATACATAGATGAATGTTCATATGTTGAAGTGTCTTTGCATTCTAGGAGTAAATCCCACTTGTCATAGTGTGTGATTCTTTTAATCTGTTGCTAAATTCAATTTGCTAGTATTTTGTTGAGTATTTTTGCATCAGTGTTCATAAGGGATATTCGTCTGTAGTTTCCTTGTAATGTTTTTGTCTGACTTTGTATCAGGGTATGCTGGCCTCATAGAATGAGTTAATAAGTGTTCCTTTCTCTTCAATTTTCGGGAAAAGTTTGAGAAGGATTGGTGTTAGTTCTTCTTTAAATATTTGTTAAAATTCACCA